CTATTAACATTAGAAAACAGGAGGTTTAAAATACATGCACTGTCATTAAGGCACCTGGTTTCGTCTCAAATACAAATACTTTAGGTACTGCACATTAAAAATGTATATTTACAATTCAGTAGGCCTATTTTTTGTAAATGGTGAGTCTAGCCATCATATTAAGAATAAGTACGGCTAGACTGCGAGTCTAGCCGTCATTAAGTACGGCTAGCCTCTTCCAATTGACAAACGGACCGATTGACAAAAGCAAAGAAAAAATAACGTTATAGCACAAAGGTAAGCTAATTTGGTCATCTACAATAACAAAGATACTGAGGGCTATTTCACTTTTCGAATCGAGCCGAACTACGCGGGTCGCCATTTTGATTTGCCCAGAAAGAAGTTCTCGCTGGCAAGATCTACTCCTCCTCTCTCTCTGGATTGTCTATCGGTGTGGACGACCAAATTGACAAAAACAAAGATAAAAAATGATGTCGAAACACAACAGTAAATTAATTTGGTCGTCTAAAAAGATGCTACAGCTATTTATAACTTTTCGAATCGAGCCGAACTACGCCGGTCGCCATTTTGTATGGCCCGGAAGTTTGCGCATACTCCTCTCTCTCTCTCACTGCCCACAGACAAAATTGCACGCTTTCAACACAAGAGCGCTGGAACGTTTGTTCATCACAGTGTAGAATTTTGTGGTTCACGGTGAACGCTGTGTACTCTGCTGAACACGGATTGGCCTGGGCTATCATCACCACAGTCACAGTGAACGCACACCGGGTGAGAATCCAAAAGGCTCTCCTGTGCTATTACCCTGAGACTGAGAATAGAGATAGCCTTAATTAATTGGCACTTTTTCAGCAGTTCCCACCCCGCAATTTTTTTTCTAGAATCTAGATCTAGATTTAGGCTCAAATGGGGGGTGGGAACTACCGAAAAAGCACCAAAAAGTCTAGAGTAGTGTAGAGATCTAATGTCGACGTCGAATGCTAAACATTCAATAAAAACGTCATGTTAAGATATCCTACCTGATGAAAATAATCCACAAGAAGAACAGAAATTAATATATATATCACTCGCATCAACCACGTGTTAATTTCACTTTTCGGAAAAGACCAGGACTCGCTCTACACTGGAGAAAATTTGACCACATGAATATTATGCACACTTCAGGCCCAAGACGCCATCTTGCTCATAGCGCATCAAGAAAGTAGCCAGGTTTTCAAGAGAATGGAAGCCAAAATGCCTTGGCCTGCCGTCGTCCGGACTGATGCCATTCACCAAGAACAAACACGGGAAAAAACAAAGAAAGTTGAGCAATGCATTCGGAAGATAATTTAAAAATAAACAACCAAGATCTGCAGGAAATAGAAATCTACGTCGCTGAGTTCAAGAATAAAGGGGAGTCTCTTTTGAGGCTTGTTAGGTCTTGGCCTATAGCGCGAAAGCGAGATCAATAAGCGCAGTGATCTTTTGTATAATCGAGATTTTGGTTAGACTATTCACCAAACGTCCCAGGAGTGGTGTACTCTTTTCCAAAAGATAGCAGCGCCATTAGTAGTAGCCTGACTCTTCACGTCAATTGGTTGAAGAGAACAGTCGTTGGTTTGAGCATTTGGTCTCTAATATAAAGTTTCCTTGATCCTATGGTACCACTGTTTGATGTTTTCAGTGGGGAAAAACGCTTCAGAGAGAAAATTTAACAAAAATTAAACCCCCATTAAAAACAATTTGATATTTATTGTTATTTGCCTACCAGGAGCGACTGCCACAATATTTCCCGTCCTGCTCACTGTCACTTCCTGTTTATCCACAACAATTGACCAACAATCTATAGTTTTATAGAATCACTGAATATATGTAGACAATGCCATTTTCCCCAGACTAAAGAGTTCCCCTAAGACGAAGCAGACGATAGATTTTTATAATTTGATTAATCACTATGATTAATTAATTAATTAATTAATTAATCATA